ACCACAGCATAATCATTATCAGTAATGAGATGGCCTGATTATGTTGAACCTAATTATATAGAAACTTTTATTTTTTGCTTCATGGATATAATTTTTATGGAAATTTACCAATAATAATGATACCATTTATTGAGTAATTTCTGTGATCAGGCAAGCATATATGTCAAGCACATTATATACATTTATCCTTTCCATAACTCCCTGAAGGAGATTTATGATCTAGATTTTCCAGAGAAAGATACTGTGGTTAAAAAAAACTTCCCAAGGTCACACAGGCAGAGGTGAAATTCAAACCCAGAGAGTCTGACTCCAAAGCCTCTTTCTTAACCAGTCTCTGTTCTTCTCTGACCCACTAGTTGATCTAGATAATGATTCTGCCATTGAGTTACTGACTGGTAACTCACCATTGGTAAAGTTTGGGAAGTACAAACTAGATAATGTCCTCATTGTACTGAGGCAGAAATAAAAAATGAAAGTGTCAGGATTTTGCACAAGGTCAACTGTTGACTGTAAGTTACTCAAATGCAGAAGTGCAGGTCTCTGGTATGCAGAGACTGTGACAAATTCAGAGGAAGTGGTTGACTTTACAGTGACAGAGCACTGAGGAAGAACGGGTTATAACTGAGTCTGCTGGGAAGGCTGCTCCCACCCACCAGCATGGGGCACTGACAAGACGGGGTTCAACTGTGCAAAACAAAATAGAGAAGTAAACATTTAATTGCAGGAACAAGACCCCGGGAGGAGGAACATAGCACTTAGAAGTCACCAAGAATCCCCACAGTCACCCTTGAAGCAAAAACTGTGGGTCCAACTAGCAGCAAAGAAAACCTGGTCCAGTGTTTCACCTGAGGTTCCTGTGCAGGATAATGGCTAAAGCTAAGCTCCACTCTCTGGCTGGCCAGGCTGGGGATGCTAAAATGCTTTTTTCTTATGAGGAGATCAGTATCAAACTAAACCAGTGAAGGAGCAGATAGGTGAATGGTGAACATAGGCAAAGTAGGAAAAGATGTGGGGGATGGCTAGAGCTATATTAATACACGGAAAAAGCTCCAAGTGCTGAAAAACACAAGACCAAACACAACGATGGTAGATGCTAACCTGACCTAAGTAATTCAAAGTGAAACGAATCACAATGAAGTATTTGTTTTCCTCGTGATGAAAAACTGTTGACTGCTTTACTACAATATTAAAATTTGTGATACCCCTGATCACATGTCTAATTTTCCTATAGGCTGGACAAATGAGTAGTGTCTAATTCACAACATTTTCATTTGGTTTCAAATAAGCTTGCAAAAACACCCTGAAGGTTTGTAGGCAAACTGTTCTTGAAAATCTGAACCACCTTTAGAATATACCAAACCCTAATAATATCCCTATGGAGTCTGCAAAATGGTTACGCCAACTGTTTGGGATAGATAACAGTGAAGGCCCACAACTGTTTCTTAAGTCCAAAGGAAAGAATGGCAATCAATACACAAGAATACAATTAGGAAACAGTATTGCCATTGGAATGTAAATCACTGTCTTCCTACATACAACATTTTTTCCTTCCAAAGTCACAGCCTGAGCAGCTTATTTCCTTACCTAGAGCTTTGTGCCAGTGATGTAGCCTTTGATAATTCTTGTAATAAAAATCCAGTCATGTATGACATTTAGGAGGGAATGAAAGGTTTGATTTGCCTTGGGGCCCAGGAACCCTTATAAAAATGCCTTTAGTGAGAAATGAAAGGAAAAAAAATTAAGGCATCATAAATTGAGCCAAATCAAAAATGGTGCCAAGTCACTAGGCTACCTTTCAATGGTTCTAGGAAATAGAGAAGACCATTGCATGTAGTTCCCCCCTCAAATATTAAAATTAACTGAAACAGTCTAAATTGGGGGAAAAAACAAGAATAAAGAGAACATGATGTTGTCTTAATGCCTTCTCAACTGCTGACAAGATAGATTTGGGGCCCTACTGGAATACAGACATTTAAGACCAGGGCTTTTATCACCCCATGTGTCACAAGCATGCTTACACTTTGAAGAAAATCGGAATTTTCACTAAGTGGTCCATAATAGCAATAACAGGCCACACCCTTTCTACAAAATCCATTCCAATGAGACATACTCACATTTTCATTTAGCTCTTGCATTCGGTCAGCTTTGTCCTATTTCCTATGGGTGGAGTCTAGTTATATGCCTTTCCCAAAGTCATTTGCAAAGCAGCCATTGTTCTCTTCAAGCCCCTTTCCTTGGGTGTGAGCCAAATGTCTGCCTCTCACACTCTTGAAGTCAGGACCCTGAGTAATTTTTTGTCTGAGGACACATGCTAACAGGGAGGTGGCGACCTTCTGTGTCTCCCCACATGTCATTCTATTCATACCCATTAGTCAGTGCAGTCTAAAAAAGCGTTTGTGTGAAGAGTGGCTTCCAACAAAGTTTAACTCACCGCAGAGGAGAGGAACATGTTCTTGGGGAAGAATTATCCCTGGGAATATACAAGTCAAGAAGCTTGGAGTTGCCTCTAACAAGCTGAGTATCCACAACCACCAGGAGGAGGCTGCATGCCTCTGTTAATTAAAGAGTGGTCCTCCTTCAGGCAGCATCACCACCACTTGTGAGTTTGTTAGAAGTGCAGATACCAGGCCTGTTTCAGATTTACAGCATAAGAAACTGCAGTCTCCAGCTGATTCATATGCAGGTTCACGCTTGAGGAGCATTGGCGTAGAACATGATTCTCAACCTTGGTTACACATGGGCACCAACCACAGAAACTTAAAACTTAAAAATAATTATTGATGCCTGAGCAGCCCCACTCCGCACCGCCCACCCCCTGCCCTTACAAGAGATTCCAAGATACTCTCTCTGGGGTGTGGCCTAAGCATTGGGATTTTTAAAAGCTCCCCGGGAGATTCTGAGGTGCTGTCAGAATTGTGAACCACTGGCAAAAAGGCAAAGGAGGGCTACTTTTCCAACCACTCACACTCTTTGCCTCACAGTCAGACAGCGGGCTTCCTGGAGTCAGTTTCTCTTTCCCTGTGACCTGGCAGCCCAGAGCCGTAAGTACAGGCGTGGGGTGAGTCTGCTAAGGAGCGTAACTCTGAGTCGGATCCTCCCGTCTCCCTCCCACCCTCACCCCCGACCCAGCTGCTATTGATCTTCCACACTTTAGCAAACCACACCAGTGAGTGGCGAACATCAACTCGTGCTTGAAAAATACCAACTTGGAGCCCGGTTTGAGAAGCTACCCCAGAGTCTCGAGACGCGACGCTACAATCTGCATTTTTCACTAGCTTCCCAGGTGTGTCTGATATGCAGCCAGGTTTGTGAACTCCACCGCGGGTCTAGCCTTTCATCTGCCAAATCATTAAGGATTCTCCAGGATGAATGAGCTGTCAAGAGCGTGAGGGCCTGCTGCAGCGCTCCTTTATTAATTACGGCGAAGTGATGTATTGGCAGTGATAATGCTTCTCTTGGAAAGGGCAATGAATGGTTCGTCGATTGCTGCATTAGATGTTTCCCAGCTTAACCTTATTGCTCAGCTTTTACTCCTCTCTGTAGTTTTAAAAGCTTCAGGGCTTTCTCATTAAACGGCCTCTTGGTCTTTATTCTCAGGTGAGCTGCAATCTTAGAGGGAAACACCAACAAAGGAGAATCTTTCCGAGTTCTTGGCTGGGGAATTACCTCCTCCCTCTTCCTTATCTGCTTATGTCAGCAATCCTAGCTAGCGTATTTCTGGACAGTTCCGATAAGTAGGAAAAACACCGAGTGAGGATTTCAGAGAAAAATCATTGATACATCCCCGGATCCCTTTGCTAAAAGAAAGCTTTCTTTAGCAGAGGGATAGAAAGTGGAGGAAGAAAGATATATCTGGATGAACAATTTCAGAGGTGAGAAACGGGTAGGCAAGCCGGGGTTGGGGTTCTGTCTGTGGGTGAGGCGAGGAAGGCGGCAAAGAAAAGTTGCAGCGCGGGTCTGCGCGTGTAACCCACGGGCTGGCCGCCGGGGAAAGCGCTAGCGCGCGCGGCCCGAACGCACTGCAGGGCCAAGAGCTGGGAGGACGTCGACAAACCTCCGCGGCAGAGGCTGGGAAGCTGGAATTGTTCCCCTCTGGCCCGGAGCTTCAGAAACGGGCCAGCGCCGCTCGTCCGCGGTGGCCGAGGGCGCCGGCGTGGGGCGCGCGGGGGGCCCGGGCGCTGGCGGCGGCTGGGGGGAGCGCGCGTGAGAGCGAGTGCGAGGCTGCGGGCGGCGGGCGGGCGAGTGTGCGCGGGAGGGAGGGAGGGAAAGAGGGAGGAGAGCGCGCGCGCCGCCCGGGCCCCGGCCCTCCCAGCCTCCCGGCCTCCGCGCTGCCTCCCGCCCGCGCGCACCGGCTGCCCGCCGCCGCCGCTCCTGCTCGCGCCGGCGCTGCACCGGAGCCTCCCCGCCGCCCGCTTTGTGCTTCCCCCCGAAGATGGGCGCGACCTCTCCCAGCTCAGGAGCTATTTAAAAAGGAGGGAGCGCGCCGTCTTTCCTATTAGTGTGGAGGAGCCGGAGAAGGATCCAGTCACACTCCCCCAAATCAGGTAGGATCTTCTGATGGGCAGCTGAAGGGATTTGGTCAGATACCGCCAACTATTTTCCATTTGTTCAAAAGGCTCCACTTCCCTCCGCTTTGGCAAAGGACTGGCTCCTAAATTGTGTGTGTGTGTGTATGTATCCCTACCCTTATCTGTAGTGTACGCGCTGCTCGGAGAGTGAAATTGCTCGGGCTGGTGCGCCTGGTCGTTGAGTGTACCCGCCTGCCGGGGGAAGAAAGAGCTGCTAAGGAGGGGTGCTGCACCCTGCGCCGCCCTGGGCTTGAGGATTCAGGGCGCTGAGAGCGAAGTCCACCCGGAATGCAGCGCTGCTGGGGATCCAGGCGTCCCCACCCACTGGGCTCAGCGCCGTGGTCATCCGTCCCCCTGGTAATCCCTGGGGTCTTCCCCAAACCCACACTCGCGAGTTCCCTCTTTTCCGGCCAGCCCTGGGTGCTCCTTCAGTAAGGACTGCGGAAAGGAGGGAGGTGTGGCCGGGGCGGGGGGGACAGGCGAGGGAGGGATGCAGCGGCGGGGCGGGGGAGTGGGCTGCAGGGTCCCAGCCTTTGGGCACTCTGCTAGAGTGTGCGTTGGGGATGCTGCGCGCACAGGCATCTTGCCCCCGAGATTCGAGGGGAACTTTGCCGCTGCATTATCTGCCTCTGCCTCTGGAGCTTTGCTGGCTCTTGGGGAAATGGTCTGTGTTCTGAGATGTGAGGATATCCTTCTTGGCTCCTCCTTAATGAAGAAGAGGGAGGTCTTATGGGTGGACAGTCGGCTACGGAAACCAAATCCGCACAGGCGATGCTTTTAAAAATACAGTATGTGTGCATCCTTGGCGTATAAAATCCCCTTTCCCTCGTGGCTTCTGGATGAATGGCTTGGGCTGGCAATTCGTATTTCCCTCTCCAGACAAAGTGGCAATGGTTGGGTTGGGAGCAGAGTGATCGAATGTAACAAAGAATTTTGTGAAGAAAGCGTTGTGCATGGTGTCCGCAGTCGGTGGAAAGAAAGTCCGGCTTTGCACTAGGTATTTATTTAACCCCCTCTTGCCTGGCCCCCTTGCAGGCGCTATCTCTCTACTGCTAGTCAGCCACTAGTGGTTGTGAATATAACAATACAAACTTTGTCCTGCTGGAGGTGTAAAGACTAAAAACAGAGAGAGAGAGAGAAGGATATCAGTAGGTGTAGTGGAAGGAGCTTTTTAAAAAATGACGGTGGTAAAGACAGTACAGACATCCGTGTCATGGAGGAGCTGGTGGAGTAGGTGGAGAGCCTCATGAGATCTGGTTAAAGGCATAGCTTGAGTTTCTCAAAGGAGAGCAATTGAACATCCGCACTGTAGTATCTGTGCGAAGATATCCTGAGGGAAATGGAGAGCAATCAGGAGGGGATTCTGAAAGCACACCTCCCATCCAGAACCCCATAACAGACACACTCACTCCTCACTTGCAGGTTTCTCTTTCTCAGAGCTGCTCCTGCAGCAAGTCAGGCAAAGAGGGAGGAAAATATATTTAGATATTTCATTCATTTCAGAAAAGAAAACAAAGCTGCAATAGGAATGATTGCTTTTAGGTTCCTCTTTGTTACTTGGATTTACCTCTATCGGTTTGCTTAATTTTGAGGTTAGCATGAAAAAAGGAAGGAAGAGAACTAGCTCGCTCCATCTTTGGGGCCTCCTGAATGAGAAGGCGGGGACAGATCCACTTATTTCATCAGAAGCATAATGTATTTTCTTAAATGGTTTTCATTTTAGGGACTCTGCCTGCTTGAAGGATTCCATTTGGATCTGAGGACTAGTTCATTATTTCTCCCACCTACTAAAGAAGGAGGCTTGATTTTTCTCCCCTAAACTGGCTCTTTGATTAAATATGGCATGACTAATTCCTAGGGGAAAAGTAAAGCCAACAAACAAACAACAAAAACCTGCACAGAGGTAAACTGCTCTTCACTATTGAGCTGTGTAGGGACAGCAAAGGATGTGAGTGTCCCTGACAATCAGACTTCCCTTACTCTGCCTTGAAACCTTAACAGGGCTGAAAGAGGAGTGTGATGAATTAGAATCTGAAGGCTGAGCTTTACATCTGTGTCTACCTACTGTCAGTTTACTTCACCGTTACTATTTAATGGTTTCTACTGTATCTTTTCAGATTAAGTACTGGATAACCCTTACGTTGATCATGAAAGGGAAGAAAAATGCATGGTCCCAGCAGTGGTTTAACTCCAAATACAATGACAAAAAGAAAGTGAAATTACAAAAGGAAGGTGAAGTATAGTCAGTAACACCTACAGGACTATTTGTAGGAATTGTATTCGTTGCTCTCTCTAATAACTCACTATGTTTTGAAAATTAAATATTTCAAGAGAGCTTCAGCATTTTGTTAGCAAGCTATATTTAACATGTTTTTTACCAGACAAAAATAGTTTTATTTATCTTGCAAAGTAAACGCATATCTCCTTCCCTGTAAGTACTTAATCTGTTTCTTTGACAAAATAAATGGTGAAAAAAGCTCTGTAGATCCTACCAAGTTGCATTTCCCCTTTAAAGAAAGTATAAAGCATGCATTTAGCTTATGGATGGGTTATTCTCAAAGTAAGTGCATTTGGGGACTGTACCATCTGGTTTTCATGGTGTAGTTCAATAACAGGCCCTTTCTCTGGGATGCCTTCAGGTAGAGGGAGAAAAGCAAGTAGGTGAGAAGCAAGCAATCTGTCCCATCATCATGGAAATACACAAGATCTAAGTTGAAATAGAAATTAAGTGTGGAAAAAGAAGCACAACTAAAGAGGATGGTAGAGCACATAGCTTGCACATTTGATATTTTTGCAGTGTGTATCTATGTTGCTTTTCTTTAATTGTTGCTTAACATTGGGCTGACAAAATTTAGGAATCAACGTGCCGAGATCTCGCTTCTTCTTGAGCCTTCCACCCTCTTTTTTTTTCCCTCTAAGGGATAAATGTCTCTTGTCAAAATGTCTTTCAATATCCTAAATACCTCATGGTCAGACCCCTCATCATAACGTGTACCAAGTAGTCTCCCATCTGATCAGATTCTCCTGCTCCCTCTTGTGGCTAATGTTCTCCTGACTTTCTCTAGATTTCAGAATCCATTCCCTCAGCCTATCAATTTGGTTCTAATTTTCAGTGGTAACTTGGGGCTAACAAAGCTGGTAGATTGCTGAACTAGCTGTTTGCAATTTTCTCTCTGAACAAAGGGAGATCTACCCCCAGAGATGCGGAGACGTCCTTCAGGTTTAGTGGATGCAAATGTCACTTGTTCTCTGACTCTTTAAGATGGACTAGGTTCTGGGAAAGTGAGCTTGCAGAGTCCGGCTCTGAGATTTTGTCCTGGACTCAGGGCTAGTTCGGTGGGACCTCATTAAGTGCAGTGGGATTATTTTCAGTTTTCTTTTCTTCTCTTCCGAAAGATAGCTCTCCTTGTGTGAAAGTGTCTGCATCTCCTGTCTCTTTTCCTGCCTCCCTCTGTCCTCAGCCTCCTGTGCATGTGGGCATACACACACACACTCTTCACAAAAGATATTTTATACAACACGTATTTTGAAAACTTCAACTAATAAATGACTTAGATTCTGAGCAGAGTTTGAATATCAAGCTGCTCTTTTTCCCAACTGGAGACTCCTAGGGTAAACTACTCTTAGTGATATGTTTTCATCACCAGCAGTTGAGAATACAGATGAGATCAGGCATCTTTTACTAGTGTGTTGATTCAACTTGGAAGACAGTTGCTCCCAGCTCTTGTGCTTCAAGTGTTTTCTGTAGGCTCTCTTTGCTGACAACTCTGTATTGAACCCTTAAGTGTTTTATGTTTACATTTGTGATTTCTCCTTTGATGGGTGGTCAGGAGACTATAGTAAGTACAAAGTTTCATGAGAATCCCTTTTTCTCTTCATCTGAAACTTTGTAGCCAGTTTTCAGGAGGAAGAGGAGACCATGGGGGAGGGGAAAAGTGCTGAAGTGATGAAAAGCAGCTGAAGTGATGAAAGTGTGTTTGTGAGCAGGGGCAAGTACATGGTAGGCAGCTGCCTGGAAAGTGATTTGGGAAGCCCAAAACATGCCTGGATTCAAAGCATTTATCTGTCGACCAGTGTAGGATCAGGAATTCTTACTATTACAGATACTCATTTGAATAAAGTAATTCTGTCTAATAAATCCCTAATAGAACGCAATGGGATTACCTAGAAAAGAGTTCCCATTCATTCTCACAAACCATTCGCATCTGTTCATTTATTAACTTGGATTGGTTTATCAGATCATCTGGCAGATAGAGAAGTCCTGAGGACCTAGAACACAGGAACGTGGAGAGGAAGTGAAAGAAGTTTGAAACTGGGTTCCTGTCCAGCTAGTGCCCCCAGAGGGCCCTTCTGGTGGGGAAGTGCCCGGGAACTGGAGCCAGGCTACTGAAGTTGAGGGGTAGAAAGTAGCCATACAGAGACAAAGATAAACGGGCACCCTGAAATTTTACTTCCAGGGCAGCAAATGTAACAAGCGTTTCTTGAAAATTTAGCTTAAGTCTTCTGAGAAATGGATGAGATATGTCCCTTAGTGTGAAATGATATCCTTAAAATCTTGAATGACTTCTGCTGTGTCATTTTGGAGTATTCATACCATTCACCTAGAAAACTAGTGTGATACTCATTCAGACAAACATTTATTTTTGCATATGTAATGGACATAGAAACATAAAACATAAATATTGGAATCCATCTTAATTTTTTAGAAAAGACAGAAAAATTCATCACTTTATAGATGTCATTGTGTGTGAAGTCAGAAAAATAATTTCATGGTTGAACCTAATGTGAGATGAAGTCTAACAGACATGAGGGTGATTCAGCAATTTACTTGAACACAACTATGACATTTATTGAGCACTCAGTGTATGCCCTGCACTGGGCTTTTCAGAGAATGCAGATGCTAAAGAGGAGTTATTTGACATTTGTTGAACACTCAGTATGTTCCAGACATCAGTCTAGGCACTTTACCTATTTTCTCACTTAATACCCATGCAAGGAAACATCCTGATGCTGACTTAAAGATGAAGACTATGGTTCAGATAAAAAAACTTGTCCCAAGAGTGAGTAGGTGATGGTACCAGGTTTTGAGGCTTTTCCAAAGCCTTGCTCTTTGTTCTTGTTGATGTACAGTCTAGAACACTAGAACACCTGAATACTGGGCCGAATAAGATAGGGGTCTGTGGCTGTCTAATAAGCCCAGTGCTCTGGAGTTGAGAGGAAGAAGAGAACAAGGTTTCTTGGAGGAGGAGGCATTTTAGTTCATTCTCAAAGAATGAAAAGGCCTTGGAAATCTTGCTATTTTTAAAACATGTAAACAAGCCCCAGCTAATTTATGACAAGGACCACCCCAGAGCAAGGCTAGGGCCATTTCCAAATTTCAGACCAGCTGCATGTCCCAGTCGGGACCACGCCATGGGGCCTGTGGATCTGGAACAAGTGATAGCAGAAGCCATTGCACACATGTATTTTACATGGGAAACCAAAGTGGATGATGAGTTTCCAGCATGCCTTGAAGGAGAGACGCTGTATTGGCCTGAGAGGTGAGGCATGGAACACAGCCCCTGCCCACCTGTCCTTTCCTTATATTTGATGGCTGTGGGTTCTGTGCCATCACAGGTGGTTTTCCTTTCCTTCCTGAGAACCAAATGGCTCTGGTGCTTTCTC